CAGCAGCTGGCCATCACGGTCATCTTCAAAGCATAACCCATTGTGACAGCTCAGCATGACCCTGCGTGAGTTTGCGTGGAGATGTGGCTGTGGATGTGTGTCAGGAAGGGACACCCTCGGCTGGAGCCAGCAGGCAGAGGAAGAGGAAGCTCTTGGGACAGTGGTGGGGCTGTAGTCTACGAGCAGGTTCTCTGGAGTCCTGTGCGGAGGGGGCCGGAAGTTCTCCGGAGGATTTTCGGGCATCCTGCTCGTCCACGCACCATTTCAACACCAGATGCCACTTCCTCTGGCCAGTGCCGTAAGGGCCGTGGGCTCAGAGGTGGCCCTAACCAAGCAGGCCCATTTGTGCCTGGGACACGGATGATGTCTGGCCTGCATGATGAGCTGCCCGAAGTAGGTGTCACGGTGGCTCCGGAGAGGCACAGATAAGCCAGCCCTTGGCACGGGCAGGGGGAGCCCTCCAGAAAGCCTGCGTGTCCTTCCAGCCAACAGGCAAAGAGGCAAGACGCTCTCTGCAGAACATCAACGAATGATGACGCCATTCTTGGTTTTAGAGCTTTGGTTCTATTTAACCAGCATGCTCGTGTCCACTGCACAGCCGTGTAAGAACTACACACATAAGGGGCTTTTACCTACTTGTCAGTCTGCACGTACTCAAGTAACATTTAAAAATTCAAGCCAGCACTGGAATCCGTGGGGCTTTCTTCTTTCAAGTGGGGTATACCTTCCCTCCCTCCCTGCCAAGGCTTCTAGAAGGTTGACTTGAGCTCTGTGGGGTCAGCACTCCCCAGGTGGTAGGCAGAGCAGCCACTGCTCCCTCAGCGGGGCTGGCGAAGGCCCTTCACAAGCGAGAAGCTGGGTCATGAGGCTTCTAGGACCCCGAGATACTCTTAAGGTGGCAAACCTAAACCTTGGGCCTGTCTGCCCCACACCCTCCGGACGCATGAGGCAGATGGGGCAGGGTGCTGTTCCCCTCTAGGCAGGGCCCCACTGCTGCCCCAAACCAAACCTCTGAGCCACCCATGAGACCCCGACCTGGGGAACGGGGGCCCCTCTGGGCTGTCCCTTGTTGCTGAACACAAGACTGCACCTAGGGGCACCCTGAAAGGCTGAGGAACTGGGGAGCCACACTGGCTGGCTCCTGAATTCCCTCCCAGCCCACACAGCTGCCTCCAGACTGGGACAGCCATGGGCCACCCCAAATTTTGGCAGGTGCTTCTCTGAGGCCTAGTCTCCTCATCTGTGAGAGGGGACACTCCTCCACCTTGCAGAGACAGGGCGTCAATGGTCACCCTGCCCGCACACACAACAGGTTTGCCCTGCTGGACTGCAGCAAGGGAGGGCACTTCCGTGCTGATCCCAGGCCTGGCATGGGGCCAGCCCTGGCAAACACAAGCCCAGTGAAGACTCCAGGTGCATGGATGGATGCATGGACAGACAGACGGAGCTGATGTGTTTCAAGAGGCCTGAACTCTTGCCCGGGCTCCTTTCTCAATACACCAGGCCCGTCCATGTAGGTCTGCGCTCTGGGATTTCCTCTCGGTGGTGATTTCTTTGAAGGCAGGACAGAATGTGCGGAATTGCCCTCTGATGGCAGTGACCGAGCCCCTCGTGGGGCCCCGAGGGGGACTAACCGGCTCAGCCTTTCCCAGAGCTGGGATTGGAGGCCCCTCCGCCCCCACACCCCAAGTGGCTGGGGCCTAACAATGCCTGTGCAGAGATGAGCTCCTGGTGGCCTGGATGCCTGCACGACATGCTGGGTAGGGGGTCAGGGGAGGAGACATGAGGGCAAGGGCTGTGCCTTTAAAGGGCTTGATGGGGGCAGGGGGACTCAGTGGGAGAGAAAAAGAACTTTCGCGGCTGATCTACACTCAGTGAGTAACCCAGGGTAACCCAGCCCGGGCTCCGGGGGCCTGCCATCACCCACATATGTAGATCTGGCTGGGACACTGGGGCTGGTCCTGGAGGTCCGCCCTGCCTTTGACGAGGGCAGGCGGAGCTGATCTGAAGCAGGCAGTGCAGGGCGCGGGAACCACCCAGGGTCAGCCTGGAGGGCAGAGCCTCGGGAGGGGCCGTCTCTCAGGCCCCAGAGGCACTGCGGGGAGGCTGGCTGGTGGGCTGCTGGGCCAAGTAAAAAGACAGTTGAGATGCGGGACAAGAGCTGAAGGCTAAAAAGGCCCTGTGCCTCTGATGCAGATGTTGCTGGTGCAGGAGTTCGGGAAACGTGCAGGCTGGAGCTGCTCAGTCTCACCAGGCAGCGTGGCTCTGGGAGGGTAGGGCCCAGGCGTGGCGTTCCGGTCCCGTCCAGGACCGGCTCCATCTTGGGCAATCAGCCTCTTTGCACCTGCTTCCTCGTCCTGGAGATGGGGCTGACGACAGCACCCCCACCACGGACTGGGCCGGACTGGAGGGACAAGGCCCCTGTTGCACTCAGATGTGCACATACAACGTGCCTCGTGACTATGGGCGATGGACCCTTCTAGAAGAAGGGGCTAGCCCAGGGACGTGGAGAGGGCCCCCACCGCCCAAAGCATCCCCAAACCATCACGGCCACCATCCTTCTGCATCACTGCCTCGCATAAGCGCCAACTCTCAACCTGCCCCTCACTTGGCCTCTTCAAATACTGTGAGTAACATGATTTTCACTCCTGTGTTTGAGATGGCAACACTGAGCTCAGGGGAGTTAGGTAACTGGGGTCAAGCAGCCAGTAAGAGCCAGAACCAAGGAACGATGTGTCCCTGGAACGGGGGAAACTCCTGGAGAGGTAAAGGGCTCATTATGTCCCCTGGCCTGCCCCCACCTCCTCCCACATGGGGATGAACCACTAGTCAGGTCCGTGGGGAGGGGTGAGCACCAGCGGGAGAAGCCCTCAGGCTCCACAGGTGAGCACCCCAGAGTGGAGGAACTGGGGGGGGGTGACAGGAGGCACCACCATTCTCTTAAAGCTTGTGCCCCAGGGGACCAACAACTTGGGCCGCTCAGATTTTTCTCTCCAAGAGGGAGGGAGTAGATTAAAACAAAACAGGACAACTCGGAAGCCCCTATCTATCTAGGCTGGCTTTTGGGGGTCCGAACACCCTGGACGTAGGAGGCGATGCGACCTGGGCCTGCCTGGCTTGTCCCCGTCAAGGCCTTGAAGGCCTGGCCACGCTGGTCTGGCTGGAGCATCTGCTCGCCTGGAGGAGCAGTCCCAGCGAAGTCGGAACCGCTCTGCTGTGCACAGCCTTCGGCATGCAGGCCAGCAGCCACCATGTCACGGAGCAAATTAGGTTTTCAGTCCAGGCTGGCTCCTGAGGGGGTTTCTGTGATCTGCACTGAAGGGGGCACCTGGCCTGAGGGCCGACTTCTCAGAGCTGCCAGAGAGCTGCCAGGGGGGTGCAGAGGCTTCCGGGTCAGCCTCAGAGCTGTGACTGGTCACCAGCCCTCCTGGGTAAGGAGAGCTGGCCTGTGCTGGAGGCAGAGCCTGGGATCTCCCACCGCAGGCCCCAGCCTCTCAGAGCCCCTGGGACCCATGCCTCCTTGCCTCCCACCCCAGAACCTGCTGCTCCTGTCCCAGGTGTGAGGGGTCCAGGAGGAGGACTAAGGGCTGGGACACACAGCCTGGCTTCCCCAGGGCCTGACCAAGGAGGATGGAACCAGAACTCAAACCTTTCCCTTGTGTCTACAAACCCACCAGCCCCTATTCCTGAGCTCCCTGACAGGCTGGCTTGGGACACCCTGATCCAACCTCAGGACTGGCACTGACCCTGCCCCTCAAAGAGGCCAGTCTGGATAAGCTGGTCCTTCCCTCCACTTGACTCTGCACCTGCCCTCAGGCCTTGGGCAAGTCCCTCCTTGTGTCCCCCCCATCCCCCCAAATGGCACCTGTGCCCCTTAGCCCCCAGCATCCAGTGTCACCTCCCCCTTGGGTGAGGATCTCCTGTAATAATGGCACTGAGAACAAGGGTAGGAGCAGTACCTTGGGCAGCGCTCTGCAGCCGTCCTGCCCGGCCATGGTTCCCTCCTTCGGCATGCCGCCCGCGCTGAGGTGGCCTCTCACCACCTCGCAGGACAGGAGCACCCCGCTGCCTCCACCGGGGGCCTGGCCCCACAGCTCCAGCACCCCCCTGGCCCCTTGAGCCCTCTGCCCATCAATCATGTTCCTCACAGGTCCCCGGGGTGCTACTCACGTGTTGGATACACGCTAGAGTCGCCTGGTCTGGGGTGTGGTGTGGGCTTTAGCATTCGTGTTGTAAAGAGGTCTGGCCTTTGCCCCTGGCTTCTGGGAGATGATGGGTCATACCCATTAGACTGTCTCCACCTAAGGCAGGATTTGGGGTGGGCACATCTGCGTGACTTAGGAAAGGGGCTCTGGGTCACGCTGTACCAGCTGACCTGGAGGCAGAGTAACAACGTGGGCCATCAGTCGAGCCTACGTGATGGGGCCCCGGTAAAAACCCCGGACACCTGAGCCTGTGTGAGCCTTCCCGCTGGGGAATATTCTGTACGTACGGTCAGCCACTGATGTGGGCACAGTGACACCATCCTGACCGCGTGGGGAGAGGACCCTGCCCTGTTCGTCTCTGTCCTTGGCTGACCTCAATCTGCATCCCTTCCCTGTACTTGACCGTGACCGTGAAGAGGATGCCCTTATGTGGAGACTGCCCTCGCACTTGGCCGGCTGGCCTCAACTCCACGTGGTGTTGTCTGAGGACTCCAGTGACTCTGACGTGCAGCCATGTCTGGGAAGCACCACACCTGTCTGAGGTGGCTGTCTCCACGTGGCAGGGGGCTGACATGCTTTGCTCAAGGTCAACTGCAAGCAAGGGGCAGAGCTAGGCTGTAGCTCCAGACCCAGAAAGGGGTCCCAGAGCACCCAGCCACTTGCTGCCCTATCCATCGTCCCCTGGAAGGACACAGTGACCCTGACCCAGGTGGAAGGACACAGTGACCCTGACCCAGAGCGGGCCCGGGCCCCGGGGTGCTGGCGGCTCACCTGGCTGGGCCCTGCATGCGCTCCTCACGAAGGCAGGTGTTTCCAGGTGCTGACAAAGGCAGTGGGGATGAGCGAGTAGGGCACCGTGGTGATGCAGTTCCACGTGTCCGACGTAGGGTCATAGCAGTCCAGGGTCTTACACCTCTGGGTCCCGAAGTAGCCCCCCACAACGTAGAGCTTGTTGCCCGAGGCCAGGGCGTGGCAGGACATGCGTTTGGCGGTCATGTCTCCGATCCGCGTCCACTGGTTGGTCTCACAGTCGAAGCGGTAGGCGGAGGCGGCCGTGAACTCGGTGTCACCGCCCATGATGAAGATCTGGCTGCCCAGCACGGCGGCCGCCGTGTACCGCCAAGGCTGGGGGCACTCGGCCTTGATGCTCCACCGGTTCTCCGAGGGGTCGTAGCACTGGACCTTGGACACCATGTCTCGGTGGATGCTGGTCCCCCCGAAAACAAACAGCTTCAGCTTGGCGCTCACCACCGCGGCATTGCTGACGCCGTCCCTCAACGGGGCCACCATGGTCCACTTGTTAGCCCCGGGGTCGTACTTCTCCACCTGCTTCAGGGAGACAGACGGGGAGGCCGGGAAGACGCCTGCCAGGGACGTGTGTCCCCCGACCACGTAGAGGCAGTTCTCCAGCTCGGCAGAGCCGTGGCCGAAGCGGGCAATCAGCATGGGCGCCGCCTTGGACCACTCCTCGTGGACGGTGTCATACACCCACACGTCCTTGGAGACCCCGTTCTCGGAGCCCCGGCCCCCGGTCACGTAGACCTTGCAGCCGATGGCTGAGGCGCTGAACTCCTTGCGGGGGCTGGGCAGGTCCGCCTTGGGGATGATCTCCTTGGCCTTGTGGTCCACCTGGTAGATCTTGTCGCACATGAAGGTCTGGCCCCCCAGGATCAGCAGCGTGTGGCCTGCCTTGCGCGGCCGGGCGCAAGGGCTGGTGACCACCCCGTCGTTCTGCAGGATCTTGGTCTTGCAGCGGAGCGCCTCGTCCACGATGAGCCTGGTACGCTCGTCGGCCATGAGGAGGGCCTCGCCGGAGACGGCCTCCTTGAGGCAGTCGGACGGCAGCAGGGCCAGCCGCACGCTGCGGAGCAGCTCGGGCAGGTGCACCTTCCGCCGCTCGAGGTCGTGCTTCACCCACTGCAGGATGGCCTCGAAGACCACGCGCTCGTCCTCCGTCTCCAGCTCGTCGCTGGAGATGAGGTCCAGCAGGGTGTCCTTGGACAGGCTGTTGAAGTCCTCGCTCTGCCGCACCGCCTCGAAGTGCACCAGGCACATGCGCCACGAGAACTCGTACAGCCGGCGGCACTGGTGAGCGTCCGACAGGAGCATCATGCCCAGGCAGTTGGAGGGGAAGAGGTTCTTCTCCAGGAACTCGGCGGCGGCGTCCCGCACGTCGTGGAACTGCAGCATGTCACCGGCCTCCAGCAGAGACTCGGCGTTCTCCTCGTTGATGACGATGCGGGACGAGTAGGCGAAGTCCAGCAGCAGCTCCAGCACCTCGGGGTGCAGGTTGTCCTGGAAGTTGACCGTGTCGTCCCGGCTCTCCCGCAGGCCGTGGCTGAACATGGCCTCGAAGTAGCGGCTGGAGGCGGCCAGCACGGCGCGGTGGCAGGGGAAGGCACGGTCGCCTGCCCACAGCGTGACGTCCGTGAACATGCAGTGCTTGCGCAGGGTGTTGAGGTGGGCCAGCACGCAGTCAGGGTGGGAGGCTTTGTGGAAGAGGGTGATGTTCATGGACCCCGTGCTGCTCCGCGACTTTCGGGTCTCATGGACGCTGACCGACATGCTGAGGTGACCTGCCAGGGGACAAGGCCACACAAGGTGAGAGGGGCTGGCCCTGTGCTGGCTCACCCTTCAGCCCCTCCTCTCTCAGCTCCGCCCCTCCCCTTGACCACGTGGCCAGAGAACGTGCGGGTGGCAGTGGCTGGTCTGACCTCTGCCCTTCAGAAATTGCTTTTGTTGATTTCGGACCAGCTGTGGAACCTAACATCTCTCTGGCCTGGAGATGAGCCACGTCTGGGTGGCTGTGAGCTGTGGCTGCCCACCCCGGGACAAGAGAACATGCAATATGGTGTCCCTGGGCCACTAAGCAGATAGCAGGTCGGGGCGGTGCTAAGTAGCCTGTGCCCTGGGCCACATCCCACCCTCAAGCTGCCCTCTGGGGCCGAGGCTCCCGTGGCCCGTTTCTACAGCTGGGGAAGCCAAGGCTCAGAGAAGCAGAGTGGCTGGCTGCCCAAAGTGCTGGAGCCAGGATCCCCATGTGGGCCCTCCAGCTCCAAGCCCAATCTCTACTCTCCACAGGCCCAAGGAGGCTGATTCTTTCCGGGTTTTCTGTGGCAGACTGGAAACAAGGAGCCCAGGGAGCCATGGAGCCCGAGCAGGGCCTCACATGCCACCCCCCCTCCCCCACCCCCATGCTCCCAGCAAGACCTGGGCTGAGCTGGACTCCTAGCAGCACTGGCCAGAGTCCCTCACCAACCCTGCCCTTGGGAAGTTCCCAAGAGCCACCGCTACAGCCTAAGGGCTCAGTGTAGACACGTTCTCCAAATCCAGGGTCTTCAGAGGCCACCTGACCCAGTGGGGATGAGCAAGGGTTTGAAGGCAAAGCTGGGCCGACAGCGGCTCACCTGAAAGACACCGGCTCAATTCTGAGGTCCCAAAAAGCAAGCCACAAGAAAGGCCCAGGTGACAGCAGGGCATGCTGACCACTAATGCAATCCAGATTTGCCTCAGCAACTGAGCTTGCAAATGAGCTTCCCTAGGCCCTACAGGCGACTCCAGGATCTTGGGCCATAGTGAGTGTCTCACCTGCCTCCCTCCTATGTCCTCCTCTGCCCCACCCAGGACTTGGCCCTCAGAAGGCTGCTCTGTGTGGGCAGACACGGGCTTGTCACACACTTGAACGTGCGGGACTCCAAGGCATCTTCATTAAAGTCCAATAGACAGGGGCACCTGGGTGGCTCAGTCGGTTAAGTGTCTGAATCTTGATTTTGGCTCAGGTCATGATCTCATGGTTTGGTGAGTTCGAGCCCCACGATGGGCTCTGTGCTGACTGTACAGAAACTGCTTGGGATTTTTTTTTTTCTCTCTCTATCTGTCCCTCCCCTGATCATGCTCTCTTGATCTTTCTCAAAATAAATAAATAAAACTTAAAAAATATTAAAAAAATTTTAATGTTTATTCATTTGTGAGAGACAGAGTGAGCAGGGGAGGGGCAGAAAGAGAGGGAGACACAGAATCCGAAGCAGGCTCCAGGCTCTGAGCTGTCGGCACAGAGCCTGACACGGGGCTCGAACCCATGAATTGTGAGATCACGACCTAAGCCGAAGTTGGCTGCTTAACCAACTGAGCCACCCAGGTGCCCCAAAACTTTAAAAAATGTTAAAAAAAAAACCCCAAACCTAGCCTTTTTTCCTCTTTAATTTTCAAAAGTATATAATTCTCCCAACCCCCACTCCAAGTCAATTTTCTGCTTAAGTAATAATCTGGTAAGGGAAGGAAGCGATTTCATGCTTCAGTGAAATCGTAAATTAGTGTCCAAGTACAGTGCTGTCTCTCTGCCTCACTCCTCCCCTGGCAAAGAACCAAGTAAACCACAAACTGACGTGATCCGAGCTGCCTGGGCAAGGCCCCTGCTCCCTGGGCCCGGGCTGGGTCTGGCTCTGCTGCTCTGGCCCCCAAGCTCCAGGCAGACCTCGAGTTGATGATGCACCAGAGACACCGCTGTGCACACCAGCCACTGGGCTCTGGGGTCATGAGGTGAGCCCACGGGGATGGGGGGTGCAGCCAGCACAAGAGTAAGAGAGGTGGGCCAAGGCTGGACACGATAGTTCCTGTTCGATCGTCATCCTGGGGCACCCCTTCCCTGCAGCTCGGTGTTCTCTTCTGTAAAACGAAGTCCCTGTCCTGCTCAGGCCTCAGGGGCACTCAGCTGTTGGCAAGTATTTACGGAGCGTGACCTCTCAGCCTGGCCCTGGGGCTGGGTGGCACGGGGATCGGGAGGCCTCGGTGGCTTAGCCCCCTGAGGCTTTCCTGGCAGCTTGGCACGTACCCCAGATCTGAATTCCGGACCCTGCACCACGTTTCCCCGAATCTTGTTCACAGACATGTTCCCAAACATGGACGTTCACTGAGTTGACTCTATCCATCCCGTCCCCACTGTGTCTGGGCTGAATAGGAGCGATGGCCTTTGACCTGTACGCCACGCTGGGGGTGTGGCCCCAAGGACTCCAACTCAGGGGTCCAGGTGGAGACTCCCTACGGAGGGGGTTAAGGACGGGACAAAGCAGGACTCAAAGAATGAGAAAGCATCAAAAGGCAGGGCAAACCCACAAAGAGCAGCCACGTTTGCCCTGGGAATGAGGTCAAGTGGTGACAAGGCCAGTGCTGAATGGGCAGCCCAGGGCCCCAGAGCTGACTGATGTCTTGCTTAGCACCAAGATGCCTGCCCGCTGACGCAAATTCCCCGCACAGGCAAAGAGCCAGGGATGGGCGTACACACCCAAGCAGGTTCCCACCCCCAGATGGCTGCCTGTCTGGGCACCTCCGTGCCGAGGGCAGAGGCACCTGCCCGGCTGTTTCCTCAGATTGTCCCACCTCCTTGTGAGCAGTGCCTGCATCTGAGCCAACCTCCCAGAGACAGCAGCCATCAGTCATGCACGGACCTGCCCCGGACCGTGAGGTGATGTCCCAGAAGCATCGTGATTCCAGAAGGTGGAGGGTCTCATCACCCCAGTTTACAGATGAGGATGCTGAGGCCCAGACACAGGAATGGAATCATGTGAGCTGCAAACCTGTACCCAGGTCCCTGAGGATCCCCAGGGCTGTGCCTCTGCTCTGGGCTGGCCGGAGTGGGAGGACCGGCCTAAGAGCCAGAGGCCCTGGGTGCTACTCGCCCTGTGTTGGGCCCCTCACCTCAACCACAGGACATCTGGAAGCGGCTCGCCTTGACCGTCACGCGTCCAGGAGAGCCCTCAGCATTTCCTCCAGACCCGCTGCTCCCCAGGCCAGGCAAACGGGAAATGGCACCAGCATGCTCCTTCTTATTCAGGCCAAATGCCCAGGCTCCCTTCGTCCCTCCCCGGCACCAGCACCCGGCCCCCACCAAGTCCTGTGGCTCCTAAGTGAGCCCCGACTCTGATCCTTATCCCCACCTCTGTCCCTCCCTTGACCTCTGGAAACCCCTGACTGGCTTCTGCTTCTTTCTCCACGATCTGTGCTCCATCCAGAGACCAGAGTGATGATCCCATCACGCCCAGCTCGAAACCCTCCAGGGGTGTCCCAGCGCCCTCAGTGAAATCCTAAGTTCTCACCGTGGCAGCCAGGTCCCACATGAGTTGACCCCTCCTCACTGGCTACCCCTCTGTCATCACATCCTGCCACTTTCCAACTCGCTCGCCCCCTCAGGCCACACCGGACTTCTTACTGGGCCTCAGGACCTTTTCACAGGTTCCCTCTCGGACTGGAATGCTCCCCTGCCTGTCTACATGGCCCACTCCGTCACCTCCTCAGAGAGTGACCTGACCACCTTTTGGGGTCACCTCCTCTCCACACCTCACCCAATTCTGCCTTCCTCACAGCACCCACTGCTATGTAACACGCGTTCGTCCCCAGTCTCCCCAACCTGCTGAAGGTGGACACCACGGGTAGGGCTAACTGATGCGACCCCAACACCCAGTGGGACCTGGCACAGAGCGGCCACTCGCCTCGACTGAATGAACCCCGCCTTTGCTCATGACGAAGCCTGGAGACACATACAGTGCATGGAATCCCCTTCACCTTGAGCACTCGTCCAGCCGCCCCAGAGAAGACGAAGGCTGGGCTGAAGAAGGCACTCGAGGGGGCCGCCACGATGGACGCGTGCGGTGGACACTCACAGCCTCGCTCGGGTCAGCGCTCGCAGAACCCGAGGCTGGGCATTTGGGCCCGGCTGGCCAAAGCGGCAGATCACCGGGCCCTGGCCCTGAGCGTGGAGCCCGATCCGTGTGCAATCCTACCGGCCACCGCGATGGGCCAAGCAGACTCTTGTCTGCGACGTTTCCTGAACTGCAGGGGAAGGTAGAGGTGCCAAGAGCACTGGGGCAGGGCAGGGGCGGGAGTGGTCGGTGGCCGTGCCACCCAGGACGGGAGCTGCACGGAGGAGGCAGAGCCCACGGCCAGGCTGCCCTTCTGCTCCGAGAGGGCTTTCCGTCCCTTGTCACCTAGAGCCGCAAGCAGTACGAGCACTCACTGCACATCAGTTCCTGGGGGTCAGTGACCAGGGGCTGCTCTCCTTGCTAAGGGGTCTTCTACCTTCTCCACCTGCAGGGAGGGCACCCCCCCGCACACCGAAAACGGGTTGTATGAGATGGTTTTCCGTGTTCACTACCAGTCACACAGGCAGCCCCACGCAGGGCGGAGGACACGCAGGGTGCAGGACACAGGCTCCCGGCCAGTGGCGGGAAGGGTGAACGTGCCAGAGTGTGTGTGCCCAAAAGCGTGTCTGCCCAGAGCCTCCTTGGCTCCCTGCCTCGGGGGCCATGATAAATCAGACGCTCTCATGCTGTATCACACAGAACTACTCTGACTACCTAAGCGTTGTCCTGGGCTTTGATGGATTTAAGGCACGTGAAGTAATAGCCATGCTCCAAACGAGCAATTTCTCATCCTGCTAAGAGGTACTGACCCGCCTCAGACCACACTTCTCCTCACACTGTGATCCTCACCTGCACAGAAGCAGTTAAAGTGCACCCAACAACAATGTGCCCGGCTCATTTCTCCCATCACCCTTGGAAAGTTGAAGAAACACACAAGGAAACAAAGTAGCCAGTGGTGAGACCTGCAGAAGAAACTTGCCTGTTCTCCAGCCAAGGGAAGCTGAAGGCCCCCACTCCCAGGGAGAAATACGCCACGGGATCAAACTGCTGCCACTGTCCAGAAAGCCCGACTCCATCTGGCCGCAGCACCGACCCCCTCCCTGCCTCCCTCCACCTGCCAGGGGCCCGAGTTCCTCAAAATCAGGATGTCAACGCTACTGCTCCTTGCGGGGGGCCAGAGGGAGCGGGAAAGCCCAGGGCCCCGCCGGGGGGTTGCAGGTAATGTGGTTCTGACTCACTCAACAACCATAAGCTTCCCGAACAATCCCCACGTGCTATGTACCAGGCGTGGGAGACAGGGACGGACAGAGACAGGTTCCTGTCCCCGTGGGCCTGCGGTGTGGGAGGCGGACACAGACCAGCAGTGAGGAAACAAAACAGCAGTAGGTCACGGTGACAAGAAGATGGTGGGGTCACTTAGGCTTCTGTGAAGAGGGAACACGTGAGCTGAAGCTTAACCAATGAGCCAGGCTATGACGACAGAGGAAAGGACGCTTCCAGGTGGCAGGGCTGCGGACACAAAGGCAGGGCAGAAACAAAGTTGGCCCGTTGAGGGAAGAGAAAGGCCAGGCCGACAGGTAGGGGCACAGTCACATGGGGCTGGGGGACGACTAAAGATGCCCACAAACTGTGACACGGCTTCCACTGACAGGCGGGGTCTATGTCCCCTCCCTTTGAGCAGGTTCTGTGACCGACCAAAGGGAGCCGGAGAGATGCTGTGCCCATTTCCGGGCCCAGACCTTCAGACACTGGCAGCTTCCACTCTTGCAGTGCCCCCTCCAGGGGAAGCCAGACAACGGGAGGCCTGACCACACCTCGAGGAGACGGCAGCCTGCCACGTGGAGGAGGGCAGCCTGGCCGTTCCCCCTGCCCTTCTGGCCACGGGAGCCCAGGCACCACACACGCGAGTGAGGAAGTCGCCTTGGACAGCCCAGCTGCAGCAGGTGGGCCCCCGCCAGCAAGTCGGAACCGGGGCCCCAGACACTGGCCCCAGGGACCGCAAAGGTCACGCATCACCCAACCTCAAACCCTGAGACAGATCCTGACTGAGCAACTGCTGGAGGCCAGGCTACGTTGAAGGCCCACACCAAATCAAGATGGCGGCTCTCACTCTTGATCTCGGGGTCGAGATCAAGACACACGTAACAGAAAGGCCAAGGTGCGAGCGAGGTGGGAGGGGGCCTGGGGGTGGGGAGAGAAGGCAAGTATTCTGCAGATGCCTCTCTGGTGGCGGCATTCTGACGGCTGTGACAAAGTGGCCTGGAGGGAAGATCAGGGTTCCTCAGGGACGGCAGACAGAACGGGGTCCCTGAAGACCACAGCCATGACCGTGTGGCGCTGGGAAAGTTCACTTGTCTCCCTGGGTCTGTTTCAACCACAGAGTGACGCTAAAAGCAAGTGACAAACCAGACAGTACATGACACGCGCTTCCAGTGGCCTGGGCCTCTAGCATATGCTCACACGGCCAGCTGTTCCAGTATTGCTGTTACTACCACGTCCGCTGAACAAAGAACGGAGCAGACACTCCGGATCCTGACTCCATCCCTCCCCTCCGCTTTCTGGTTTCGTTTTGTTCTGTAAGTAAGCTCTACGCCCAACGTGGAGTTTGAATTGACGACCCCGGGATCTAGAGGCACCCGCTCCACTGACAGCCAGCCGGGCGTCCCTCTGCTTTGCTCTGAATACGGCAGTGCTCACGGTCTATTCGTGTTTAGGTTGTTCGGATTTTTTAAATGATTATATGATATTGTTGCGATCAGAAAAAAAAAAACGCTAAAGGTTTCTGTCAAGCCTGTGAGGTCTGTGAAAAAGGAAGGAGTTAAATGCTATGAAACACCACATAAGCGCAGGGCTGTGTGATTCAACACCCGTTCCCAGGCAGGGATCTCGGGACTGACGCGTGACGCTGCGGCCCAGATGCCTGCCCCACCCCACCCCTGCGTCTGGGGATCCAAGCACCTCAGGGAGCCTGCAGGGTGCAGGGGTATCCTTCCCCTTGCCAAGTGGAAAGCAGACTAAGCGCCCTTGTAGAGCACACAAATCTAATTGTTAATTGAAAGCAAATCAGTATGACCAGGGTAACCGAATCAGAGGCGCAGATCATTCCAGATACGAGTGCACTATCACACAAAGGGCCCTTTCCCTAAAAGCCTCTGCCTTTCAATGGTCCTTTCTTTAAGAAAGTAATAAAACTTTATGTACATTCAAAAAATTGTAGGTACCTTTTTATTATTTTTATTTAAAAATTTTTTATTTTTTTGACAGAGCGAGCATGCACTCAAACAGGGGAGGGG